TGTTGAAAAGCATCTGATATATGTTACATTGATTATCAAAAGATCATTAAACACATACTTGCCCCTTTTAAAGAGGAAAAAAATTCATGTGTTTTAAAGGTAGATCTCAACTTTTAAAGACCAATTACAGTTTATAATACTTAACTCACTCAAGCATTTGTGTCTACATTCTTATCATAATGTTAAATCATAGTTAAGTTTTTGTTAAAATGAATTGCTTCATAACAGAAGGTCTTTAATGCTTTTGAAATTAATGAGCCGCACCATGACAAAACCAATATACTGCATTTGGGACCAGCATGGATCCAGACCAGTCTGCACATCCACGCAGTCTGATCAGGATCCATGGTGTTCACTTACAAACCTTATTACAAGTAGAGAAGCTGATAGCAAACAGCATGGATCCTTAACAGACTGTGCGGATTGGCAGGCTGGCCTGGATCCATGCTGGTTGCAAATGCACTATGTTGGTTTTGTCGTGACGCGGCTCATTAGTAGTCATTGTGATAGTATATAGTATCATTTAAATAACAAACCACAAACTGTATATGAATGGTAAGTACAAGATTCATGATCAGATATGACTCATCTATATGTAGCAGATGGTAAATTGTTCTAAAATATTTTTTATCAAACGTATAATTGTTCATATTAAATCACTTAAAGGGACTCCACTGAGGTTTAAAAGCCTAAAAACATAACATTTGAATTTCTTACATAAATGAGCTGGGGCACTTTTTACAGAAATATAAGATAGTTAATAAATATCCTTTGAAATAATTGAAAATCATATTTTTATGATTTCCATAGCCCGATTTGAGTGGAAAGCATTTAAATATTTTCAGTCCCATCATGTCAAAAAACCTCAGTGGAGTCCCTTTGAAAGTCTAACATCATTTTATATAGAAATATTTTATAATTATAAGAGTATAATTTTAAAAATACCGGTTCAAGTATTTTGAAAATGTTTATGAAAAATGTGCCCATTGGAGACAAATTCACATTAACCTCAGAGTTTTTGTGATCATGTGATTTCTGTTGTCATTTATTATACAGACTTCATTTATGCTCCCCTAAGGGTGCGCATATAGTTGCCGCTTTGTCTGCCCGTCCGTCCCCTATTCTTGTCCGGGACATAACTCTGAAACAACAAGAGGTATCAACATGAAACTTTGTAGGTAGATAGATCTCATTGGGTAGGTGTGCAGTGCACAAGAACCATAACTCTGTCTTGCCTAATTTTGGAGATATTGCCCTTTGTTCATTTTTATACTTTTAACTTTGTCCAGGACATAATTCTACCCCTTGGGAATGTCTGCAGAAGTTAATGAATTATTACCAGGGGTCAAAAATGATCCCAGCCTTTGGGGGATTAAGTTTATTTAGACATTTATAGTGCACAAGTCATATAATTAAAAATATTCTCCTTCTTAACTATGATGCCTTTATTTAGAGCTCAGATATTTGGCATGGGTAGCGTCACCTTGTGGTCTTCTATACAAATTATATTTCATAAATCATGCTTGGAGGGTCAAAAATAGCAGTGCTCAGAGGTTCACTTTGTTTACTTAGTTTGTGGGTTTGGCTGAGTGGTTATAGGTTGTTTACTTAAAATCGCTTGCCCCCACCATTGTAGGTTCGAGTCCTACCAGGGACTTTGGATTCTTTCATATGAGGAAAACTATCCTGAGCTAGCTTAATGAATGCTGGTGGTTGTACCCAATGCAGGTTCATGCCTAAATAATGCATAGAAGGACACCTGAGGTTTTCCTCCAGTAAAGCTTAAAAGTCACCTAAAGACCTTTACAGTGTTGATGTGACATAAAACCCAACTTCCAAAAATGCAAACAAATTAAAATGGAAGTTAAAAAAAATTAACAGTAGTTAATATTATTTGCATCTTGTTCCATTTTAGTGACATCTCAGTATATAACGTAAACCAGGCATTGCGTAGCTAGGGTAGTGCATGTAATACCAGTTCTATCTGGGATATAATTAAGAGACCTTAATTTATTTATATTCCCCCACCTGTTGCCTATTCGTGCCACAGCTCTGCAAGAAAGTTGAACTTAAGGCATTCAATTGGTGTCTTAATTGGAATATACTCCAGTCTAGAAGGCATTACAGGATGGTATAATTATTTTCAAGGTGTCAATTTGCCTATCCTAGGGACTCCCTGTTGAAGGCTCATCGAATCGAATGATAATATTCTGAAAATGAAATAGTCGGAGATCTATTATGGTTGTGAATGAATTTTGACACTAAGAATGGTATTCACAACAAAACTTATTAATATGCCAGTGTTTTGCCTGTGTTTTCTGGCATGTTTTTTTATCACATGTAGGGAGCAATGTTGTTTCTCCTAAATTTTACCAATTCAATTGAACCTTCTCTGAGTTAATGAAATTTTCATAGGTGTGGTAATTTATTTCTAATGTAAACCTTCGTTGTACTTCGATTGATATATTCAGATTAAAAACTTTGCTTTAAGGAATGTCTTGCTGTTTTCAAATGGTGCCTATTACAGTAAACTCCGCTTATAACGAACTCATTGGGACATTCGAAATCTGTTCCTTATATCCGGAGTTCCTTGTAAGCATATAGCGAATTAGTTCCTTGTATCAGAAGTTTTTATAGCGAACAGTATTACATATAAAGAAATAATTGTTTACCATCGTCCTCCATTTAGAAGAGCATTTGATTAAGAGAAATAACTCTTGGGTTCGTCATTGTTGTCTCCCTTATATTGATTCAATAAAGAAAAAAAGGAATATTTGCAATGTTGTTTCTTTTTAATATAATTTTTATGTATAAATATATCTATAAGATAATTATATGATATGTACCATATATGCAATATTGTTATTTATTAACGATACAGTAGCATGCACAAAAATAATCACTTTGCTTTGAAGAAGTCGCTAATTTTAGTTTGGGAATGTTTACAACTCTTCAGGTTAAATTCAATATCCAATAAACTTTTAAAAACTGTTTCTTCAACATGTGCGAAGTATGACCTAATCTTGTGCAAACAATCAATAGCTTCATTTTTTGACACAACCGGCAGATCATCTAAATAGATCTCGTCTTCGGAAGATTGACTGTCATCGTCATTATTTGTTCCTAATATATCCGCTACATTCGACCAAGTTTTAATCTGTGCCGATGAAAACGAAAGTAGAAATTGCGTGATCTGTTTACGGATAGCCGATATTTTGGAGTTCGTTATAAAAGTGTAATTTTCTGTACTTTTTATGGCATTGGGACTAAAAAATGAGTTCCTTATAAGCGATAATTCCTTATAACCGTGTTCGCTGTATCCGTATTTTTTTACATTAAATAAAGAAGGGCAAAATTCGGGCCAAAAAAAATTGTTCCTTATAACAGGAAGTTCGCTATAACCGTGTTCGCTATATATGAAGTTTACTGTATACTGTATATATAAGGCTGACATTTAAGAAAAGTTTATCTTTATGCCTCCGGTGTTTCTCAAGTGAAGCATTCAGTTGCAAGTTTGTCTAGCAGTCATTCTATCCATCACACTGAGATCTCCACCGCATCCCACACCTCCCACCTCACGGCACCTTGCAGCGTGTCGCCTCACCTCATTTACTTACTGGTAGGAATTTCAGGCCAGTTGTCTTAAAGCAACTCAACATGATGGAATTGGAAATAATTTTTATATTTTTGTGTCGCCTCTACAAAGTAGTGGCGACATATAGGGATCACTTCTCCGTCGTCTGTCTGTCGTCTGTCTGTCTGTCTGTCCATCCGTCCGTCACAAAACTTGTCCGGACTACTCCTCATAAACTACTGGTGCAATTTCATCCAAACTTTACAGGAATGATCAGTACCAAGTCTAGTTGTGCATATTGTCAGCATTTTCCGGTTCAATAATTTTTGGCAGAGTTATGGCCCTTTTATAATTTTTAATTTTAAAGTTTGTCCAGACTACTTCTCTTATACCACTAATGCAATTTCAATGAAACTTTACAGGATTGATCTGTAGCTGAAGTCCTTGCGCATATTGCACGGGTTTTCCGGTTGAATGATTTTTGGCTGAGTTATGGCCCTTTGATAAAAAGGTGTTTTTTTCTGTGTGTTGCCAGATACACAAAAGCTTGTCCGGACTACTCCTCATAAACTACTGTTGCAATTTCATCCAAACTTTACAGGAATGATCAGTACCAAGTCTAGTTGTGCATTTTGTCAGCATTTTCCGGTTCAATGATTTTTGTCAGAGTTATGGCCCTTTAATAATTTTTATTTTTAAAGTTTGTCTGGACTACTTCTCTTATACCACTAATGCAATTTCAATGAAACTTTACAGGATTGATCTGTAGCTCAAGTCCTTGCGCATATTGCACGGGTTTTCCGGTTGAATGATTTTTGGCTGAGTTATGGCCTTTTGATAAAAAGTTGTTTTTTTCTGTGTGTTGCCAGATACGCAAAAGCTTGTCCGGACTACTCCTCATAAACTACTGGTGCAATTTTATCCAAACTTTACAGGAATGATCAGTACCAAGTCTAGTTGTGCACTGTCCGTCTGTCTGTCCGTCTGTCTGTCACAAAATTTGTCCCAACATGAAATTGGCCATTATGAGGCGACACATGTGATTACTGATCGCTCTTGTTCAAGATTAATGTTCAATTTGATATCTAAAAGGCATAAAATTTCAGAGCATTCACTTGCTCGTTTTTTCCAGAATAAAATGACCCAAAAATGAAAAGAGTAATATTATGATGGTTTTTACACAAATTGGGCTTAGAATTGCACACAAACAAATTTTTAATTATTTCTGAGTCTATTTCTTAATTATCTTTTACAAATCTTTCTGTATTTAGTGTCCAGCTGCTGATCTATGGAAGAGGTTCAGATTTTATGTTTTCAGTGGAGTTCCTTTAAGGACACTTAAAAGGCTAACTTAAGATTTTCGCACTTTTCTGCACAGTGTAAGGTGAATTTTTTTATCCAAATTGAATGTTTAATTGTATTTCAGGTCAGCCGGATGTATTCTTGGAGAACTTCTGGCCCACAAACCGTTGTTGCCGGGCAACTCAGAGATACATCAAATAGATCTGATCGTAGAAATGTTCGGTACACCTAATGACACTATATGGCCAGGATTCTCGGATCTACCGGCTCTTAAACAATTCACTTTGAAAAAGCAACCGTGAGTATATAATTATAACATGAAAATATGTAAATACATGTACATCGTAACATGTATTCAATTAAAAAAGGTTGTAAAATGATGTTAGTTTACTTTGAAAATGGTCACAAAGAATGGTTATGTCATATCATTGACCTAAGAATAAAACAATGATTTAAACATGGTATTTCTGATCCAGATGGCCATTTCATCTCCAAATAACATCCCTTTATTTATATTAACATGTCCTTTGTAAACTAAATTCTGTAGCTAAGAAGTACATGATCAGTGTATAAATCCGTTCTTCTGTTCTGAGCTAAGAATTATTTTTAAAGCCATACAGTGTATTAATTTAGTATGCAAGGTTTTTTTTCCAGCCTTGTTGGTTATGTAATAAAGTCTGGAAGTTTATTACTGATATGCCATGTTAACAAAAATGTGTTGTTGCTATCAAAATAATTAACTTAAGTTTTTAGCTCACCTGTCACAAAGTGACAGGATGAGCTTTTGTGATCGCTTTTCGTCCGGCGTCCGTCCGTCGTCCGTCCATCGTCCGTCCGTAAACTTTTACTTTAAATGACATCTCCTCATAAACCACTAAGCCAATTTCATCCAAACTTCACAGGAATGTTCCTTTGGTGGTCACCTTTAAAAATTGTTCAAAGAATTTAATTCCATGCAGAACTCTGGTTGCCATGGCAACCAAAAGAAAAAAACTTTTAAATATCTTCTTTTAAAAAAAACCCAAAAGCTAGAGCTTAGATATTTGGCATGAAACATCTTCTAGTGAGTGTCTACCAAGTTTGTTCAAAATAAAAACCCTGGGGTCAAAATTGGCCCCCCCCGCCCCAGGGGTCATTGATTTTCCCTATATGCATATAGTAAAAACTTAAAAAAATCTTCTTTTAAAGAACCCATAGAGCTAGAGCTAAGATATTTAGCATGAAACATCTTCTTATGGGTGTCTACAAGTTTGTTCAAATAAAAAGCCCTTGGGTCAAAATTGGCCCCGCCCCAGGGGGTCATTGATTTTCCCTATATGCATGATATAGTAAAACCTTAAAAAATTCTTCTTTAAAGAATCCAAAGAGCTAGAGCTGAGATATTTAGCATGAAACAAATGTTTCTAATGGTGTCTACAAAGTTTGATTCAAATAAAAGGCCTGGGGTCAAAATTGGCCCCCGCCGCGGGTTGGAATTTTCATTATATGTGTATAGCAAAACTTAAAAAATCTTCTTTGAAAAAACCCATATAGCTAGAGTTTAGATATTAAGCATGAAACCATCTTCTAGTGAGTGTCTACCCCAAAGTTTGTTCAAATAAAGCGCCGGGTCAAAATTGGCCCCCGCCCCATCGGGGTCATTGATTTTCCCTATATGCCATATAGTAAAAACTTAGAAAATCTTCTTTTAAAGAACCCAAGAGCTAGAGCTAAGATATTTAGCATGAAAATGTTCTAATGGGTGTCTACAAAGTTTGTTCTAAAGTTTGTTCAAAATAAAAGCTCTGGGGTCAAAATTGGCTCGCCCGGGGGGTCATTGATTTTCCTTATATGTGTTATAGCAAAAACTTAAAAAAATCTTCTTTGAAAAAACCCAAATAGCTAGAGTTTAGATATTAAGCCATGAAACATCTTCTAGTGAGTGTCTACCAAGTTTGTTCAAATAAAAAAGCCTGGGTCAAAAATTGGCCCCGCCCAGGTGGTCATTGATTTTCCCTATATGCATATAGGTCAAAAAACTTTTTTAAAAAATCTTTTTTAAAGGGAACCAAACGATAGGCCTAAAGATTTAGCCATGAAACCATGTCTAATGCCGGGGTCTAAAAGTTTGTTTTAAATAAAAGCCCCTGGGGGCAAAATTTTTGCCCCGCCCCCAGGGGGTTCATTTATTTTCCCTATAGCATATAGTAAAAAAACTTAAAAAATTCTTATTTTTTAAAAACCCAAAAGAGCCTATGGAGCTAAGATATTTAGCATGGGAAACAATTTCTAATGGGTGTCTAACAAAGTTTGTTCAAATAAAAGCCCTTGGGGTTCCAAAATTGGGCCCCGCCCCCGCGGGGCATTGATTTTCCTTGTATGTGTATGGGCAAAAACTTTAAAAATTTCTTTGAAAAAAAACCCAAAATAGCTAGGAGTTTAGATTATTAAAGAATGGAAACATCTCAAAGTAATTGTCTACAAAAGTTTTCAAAATAAAGCCCTGGGGTTAAAAACTTGGGCCGCCCCAGGGTGTCATTGCTTTTTTAACGTATTGTGATAGTAAAAAAATGACAATAAAGATTTTCATGTAAGTGACAGGGGGAGCTTTGTGACGCTTTTTTGTCCGGGTCCGTCCGGCGTCCATCCGTCCGGTCGTCAGTCCGAAAACTTTTTACTTTAAATGACATCCTCCTCATAAAAACCACTAAAGCCAATTTCATCCAAACTTCACAGGAAATTTCCTTTGGGTGATCACCTTTAAAAAATTGTTCAAAGAATTTTAATTCCATGGCAGAACCTCTGGTTCCATGGGCAACCAAAAGAAAAAAACTTTAAAATGATCTTCTTTAAAAAAACCCCAAAAAAAGCTAGACTTAATTATTTGGCAGAAAAAAATGCTTCTAGTGAGTGGCTACCAAGTTTGATTCAAATAAAAGCCCTGGGGTCAAAATGGCCCCGCCCCAGGGGGTCAGTTATTTTCCCTATATCATTAAGTAAAAATTAAAAAACTTCCCTTTTAAAGAACCCCAAGCAGCTAGAGCTAAGATATTAAGCATGAAACCATCTTCTTAATGGGTGTCTACCAAGTTTTTTTTTCAAATAAAAACCCTTGGGGTCAAAATTGGCCCCGCCCCAGGGCGTCATTTATTTTCCTTATTATGTGGTTATAGCAAAAAACGTTAAAAAATCTTTCGCTTTGAAAAAACCCATATTAGCTAGATTTAGAATGATTAAGCATTAAACATCTTCTAGGAGTGTATACAAAGTTTGTTCAAATAAAAAGCCCTTGGGTCAAAAAATTGGCCCCGCCCAGGGGGTCATGATTTTTCCCTATATGCATTAAGTAAAAACTTAAAAAAATTTCCTTCTTTAAAAGAAACCCAAAGAAGTAGACAAGATATTTAGCATGAAACATGTTCTAATGGTGTATACAAAGTTTGTTCTAAAAGTTTGTTTCAAATAAAAGCTCTGCGGGTCAAAAATTGGCGCGCCCGGGGGGTCATTGATTTTCCTTATTTGTATAGTAAAAAACTTAAAAAAATCTTCTTGGGAAAAAAACCCAATAGCTAGAGTTTTAGATATTAAGCCAATGAAACATCTTTGTAGTGTCTCCAAAAAAGTTTGTTCAAAAAAAAGCCCTGGGGTCAAAAAATGGCCCCGCCCCAGGGGGTCATTGAAATTTTCCCTATTATGCAGATGATAGTAGAAAAATTAAAAATCTTCTTTTAAAAGAACCCAAAGAGTAGACTAAATATTTAGCATGAAACAGTTCTAATGGGGTCACAAAGGTTTGTTCCAAAAATAAAAGCCCCGGGCGTCAAAATTGGCCCCGCCCCGGTGGTCCATTGATTTTCCTTTGTATGTGTTGGCAAAAACTTAAAAATCTTCTTTGAAAAAAAACCCAAATAAGCTATGAGTTTTACGATATTTAAGAATGAAACATCCATAGTAAGTGTCTACCAAAGTTTGTTCAAAATAAAAACCCTGGGGGTTAAAACTGGCCCCCCCCGAGGTGTCATTGTTTTTTAACATATATTGTATAGTTTAAAAACTTAAAAAAATCTTCTTTTAAAAAAACCCCCAATGAGGCATAGAGGTTAGATTTTAAGCAGGAAAACATCTTTTTGTTTGGTGTCTACCAAGTTTTTGTCCAAAATAAAAGCCCCTTGCGGTTTAAATTGGCCCCTGCCAAAGGGGGGGGGAGGCATTGTTTTTCATTATATGTGTGTGTTAAAAAACTTAACATCCATGGAAACAATCCTTTTTTTTAATGGGGTGTCTTCCAAGTTTGCTCAAATTTAAAAGCCCCTGGGGTTTAAACTGGGCCCCGCTCCCGGGGGCCGATATTACAGGGTTGAGCGACCTCAGGGCCATCATGGCCTCTCTTGTTTTCAAATTTAATTTTGTGTTCCTTCAAGGCTTGAAAAATTATAAGGGGGTTCTTTTGTCGGCCCGGCTTTTGTCAGCATTTGGCGTCGTTGTCCGGGTCCCCTAAAGCTTTGTCCGGGAGCATAACTCGTCATATAAGTCAGATTGACCCTTCATACTTGGTAGCATGCCTTCTTTCAATAAACCAGTGAAAGTGCCCAGTTGCCAAAGGACCGGAAACTCTGCCACTTCTTAATTTTTGAGTTATTCCCCTTTGTAATTTCATACTTTAAAATTTTGGTCCGGGCCATTTTTTCTTCACTTAAAAGCTACGGACTTGAAACTTTCATAAGGATGATAGATCCATTAAGAAGAAGTGCAGTGCCAAAGAACCGGTTAATCAGCTTTCTTTTTTTATTGGCTCCCCGAAAAAATTTTTGGGGGAGCAATATAGCCCCCTTGTCCGCCGCCGTCCCGGCCGTCCGTCCGTCCGTCCGTCCGTTTCCGTCCGTCCCCTTTCTTGTTCCAACATACTTTGTTCCCAAGGATCAACATGAAACTTTGTAGGTGAATAGATTCTCATTGATTAGTGTGCAGTGCACAAAAACCGTAACTCTGGACTTGCCTAAATTTTTTGAATTATTCCCCTTTGTTTATTTTTACACTTTAACTTTGTCCGGGACATAAACTCTTAAAAGTATATAAAGGTATCAACATTGAAAACTTTGGTAGTGGGAAGGATCTCATTGGAGAATGCAGTGCACCATCCTATCAAGAACCCGTAACTCTTGCCTGTGAACCTAATTTTTGAAATTTATCCCCCTTTGTTTTATATTTTTACACTTTGCTTTGCCGGGGATATAACTCTAAAAGCAATAAGAAGGTACAACATGAAACTTGTAAGGTAATAATCTTTCATTGAGTAGGTTCATGCCACCAAAACCTAACTCTGCCCTTGCCCTAATTTTTGAATTACCCCCTTTGTTTATTTTCCACTTTGAAATTTGTCCAGGGGGCATAACTCTAAAAGAATAAGAGGGTATCAAACATGAAACTTTGTACTTAGAAGATCTCATTGTAGAAGTCATGCACAAGAACCGTTTAACCGTTGCCTTGCCTAATTTTTGAATTATTCCCCCTTTGTTTAAATTTTACAACTTTTAACTTTGTCCAGGACATTAAACTCTAAAAAGTATAAGAGGTATCAACCACTAAACTTTGAAGGTAGATAGATCTCATTGAGTAGGTGTGCAGTGCACAAAGAACTGTAAAACTCTGCCTTGCCTAATTTTTTAATTTATCCCCTTTTTATTTTCCACCTTTGAAATGTGTTTTCCGGGACATAACTCTAAAAGTTAAGAGGTATTCCCAACATGAAACTTTGTAGGTAGAATCAGTTCTCATTGAGTAGGGATTTGCGTCGGCACAAGAAACCTTTAACTCTGCCTTGTCCAAAATTTTTGAATTAATCCCCCTTTTGTTTATTAACCCACTTTTGGCCCTTTTGTCCGGGGACATAACCCAAAGGATAAGAGTATCAAAATGAAATTTGTAGGTTTTAGAAATTTTCCCTTTATAGGTGTGCAGTGAAAAAGAAAACCAAATTGCCCTTTCCCAAAATTTTGGGAAATTTTCCCCCTTTGGTTTAAATTTTTTTCACTTTTAAAATTTTCCGGGAATATTTTTTTAAAGTATAAAAAGATTCAACTGAAATTTTTAGGTAGATAGTTCCCATTGAAGAAAATTTTTCCCGTGCACAAAAACTGTAAACCCCTGTCTTGCCTTCTTTTTTTAGTTATTGCCCCTTTTTTTCCCTTTTGGGCACTTTTAACCCTTTTTTGGGAAAATTTTTTCTAAAAATTTTAAAAAGATATCAACATGGAAAACCCTTTTTTTTGAAATAGGTCTCATTGGGGGGAAGGGATTTTCCCTTAAGAATCATTACTCTGCCCCCTTTTCCTTATTTTTAAAATAATTTCCCTTTTTTTATTTTTACCTTTTTTGACTTTTTTCCCCGGAATTAAATTTTAAAAAAATTAAGTAATTTAACATGAAAATTGTAGGTAGCTAGAAAATAATTGGTAGAACTGCAAAGCTTCAAAAAAACCCTAAACAAAACCCCGGTTTAATTTTGGATTATTGCCCCTTTTTTCATTTTTTTTAAAAATTTCCCGTTGTCCAGGAAAACCCTTTTTCCCGGGGGCATCACCCCGTTTTAAACCCGGGTTTTTGTTTTATTTTTTCCCCTTTGTTAATTTTAACTTTATTTTTGTCCGGGCCATATCTCCGAAAGTATAAAAGCTATGGACTTGAAACTTCATAGGATGATAGATCTTATTAAGAACAAGTGCAGTGCACAAGAACCGGGCACAAGAACCAGAACTCTGCATTTCTTATTTTTTGAATTATTGCCCTTTGTTAATTTTCATACTTTATTTTTGTCCAGGCCATTTCTCATAAATAATAAAAGGTATGGACTTGAAACTTCATAGAATGATAGATCTTATTGATAAGATGTGCAGTGCACAGAAACTGATGCTCTGCACTTATTATTTTTTGAGTTATTGCCCTTTGTTAATTTTCATATTTCATTTTTGTCCTGATCATTTTTCCTAAACTATATTGTTCACAAGGCGACACATCCGACTCGCGGAGTTCTTAGTCTAGATAATGATTTGGTTCTTAGAAATGGCTATAGAAGGAGAGTTGAATACAGAACTGCAGTACTAGTTACTTATATGAAATAAAGAAGATTTTACAACAGTTTTGCAATCAACCTTCGACTGGTACAATTGTATATAGACTTCATTCAAAAATTTGCCTGCTACTAACATGTTGGACTGTATGGGTGAAAAGATAATCTGAACACTGCCTTCTTCTGAAATTATAACAAAACAATCAGAAGTTTTAGTGGCCTTTTTGCAAAAAAATATCAATTTTAAACATGGCAATTAAATTCAGAAACTTTCTAAAATCACATTTTATCCTTTACGTATTATAATCTTTAAGTTGGCATTTCCCAGTTCTCGCATAAGGTAACAGTATAAACACTTAAGGCAAATGTTTATAGGTGTATATGAACAATTTGATGTAAGTTTACAGATTATGAGTATGATTATTTGTATTTTCAGTTATAATAATCTTCGGCACAAGTTTTCATGGTTATCAGATGCTGGAATTCGTCTTCTGAATTTTCTCTTTATGTACGATCCGAACAAGAGAGCCACAGCTGAGGATTGTCTGGACAGTTCCTACTTCAAGGAACAACCATTACGTAAGCTGTCACACCTTTCTTCTCTACAGAATTGTTGAGCCTTTTTTTTAACTAATTAATTTAGCTTGATTCTCATGGATGCTGTCAGTTGATTTTACTGTCAGTGGATTAAGCTTGATCTTCATGGATGCTGTCAGTTGATTTTACTATCAGTAGATTAAGCTTGATCCTCATGGATGCTGCCAGTTTATTTTTTCTGACAGTAGATTAAGCTTGATCCTCATGGATGCTGCCAGTTTATTTAACTGTCAGTAGATTAAGCTTGATCCTCATGGATGCTGCCAGTTTATTTAACTGTCAGTGGATTAAGCTTGATCCTCATGGATGCTGTCAGTTGATTTTACTGTCATTGGGTTAAGCTTTATTTCAATGGGTTTA